GTTTCCAAATGCAGAGTTATCTCCATGCGGCATAAGATTCGTTTCTCCTATGTTCTGGGGAACCAAATACTACCGCGTGTCACTGACGAAAAGGATTTGGGAGTTATGGTACAGGAGGACGCAGGATGTTCCGCGCACTGTGCCAGAGGATCATCCATGGCTCTAAAGTAAGTTGAGCAACTCAAACATGCCTTCGGGCAGTTTGAAAGAGCACTGTTCCTATACTTGCTATCAGTGTTCGTTCGGCCACACACGGAGTACGCCGTTCAAGTATGAAGTCCATGGTTGAGCCGCAACAAGAAGGCTCTAGAACGTCCGCAAGGTTGGCAACAAAATTGCTAAAAGGTCTGTGTAACAGGACATACTCCGAAAGACTGCAAATATTGTGGCTCTACTCCTTTTAATACCGCCGACTGCGAAGGGAGGGACCTAATCTCGGCATATCACATACTGCATCAACCCAACCATCCACGCCGTTCTATGCTGACTTTATCTCATATGGATCACCTCAGGGGACATCCAGCAAGAGTGAATACCCAGACCCAGCCACCTGGGGTGCCGGCATCACTCGTTTGCAGTCGGAGTGTGCGGCGTATGGGATTCTCTTCCATCTGATGTAGTGTGTGCTCCTACAGTTGAACTACTTAAATCGCAACTTGATAAAGAACTACAACACTTAAGAATTCAAAATCCGTGAGTGATCATGCAAATTATTATTATTATTATTATTTTCTCTTTGTGAAGTTATTCGAAATATTCTGTATAAATCTATGTGATATGATAAGCTTTAGCTTTATTAAATCGCCCATAATACAACTTTGAGTTTGAATTTGACTAGGGTTTCCCATCAATGTAATATAACAATCAAACTAAGAATATACCATCAAGTTAATCATATAGATACCATTCGTAAGGGTGGAAAAATAGCCACACAGAATGGTAAGAAACGGAGAACGGTGTGCTAGCGACATGTGACGAACCTTCTCGGATAACTTTCTCACTAACAGCCTGTAGGCCAAGAAACTGTGGAGCGAACGTGATGTTCAACTGTAACCGATCGTGCCAAACAGGCGGGCCGTATTCCGGATTCTCTGTTCGACATTCGATATAGTCCATGTGGTAGTGCCATGTTGGACGAAGCCACAACCGACTGTGAGCCTGTAGACCACCGTATGCACCTGGAGTCGGCTTTTCGTTTGTGCCTAAAATGGGGAACGGCGGGATGGGAAGACAGTTTAGCAACGCATTACCTGGAGATTGTAAATCTAGATGAGATTTTTTCACAGATTTGCTCGCCTCGTAGAACTCACCTTGCATAGCAACCGATTTACATTTTGTACTCTCTGACGCTGTGCGGGCTATCTTCGGCTCGGATTGCCCGAATGATTGCGCAAATGCGTGCGCCGGTCCGCAACGAAAATGCCACCAAGATATGGTGGCCACAGGATTCGAAGTGTCCGCCTGACAACTGATCACTAGTTGATGACCACTGGATACGACCGGGGGACTGTGAAAACTGATCACAATCCGTTCCGGTGGAAATAGCACATTCAGAATCACCGAATCACTTCGAATCCCCTCCGGCCCGGTAGCGGCATTACGAGCGGAACAGCTGACAACGGGACACGGTGGGGGTGGGATAAAATATTGAATACATGTGAATAAAGAACGCCGAATTTCAGTCACTAGTGAACTTAAAATACCTTATTGATTACTTCAGTGATTCGGATTGCTAAATCCACTCTTCACTTCATTTCACAGTAGATAAGAAACCCACAGTGTAAACTCGTTTGAAATAGTTTTGTACCACTGTGAACTGTGCAAGACTCACTGCGAATATGTTCACAGAGTTTCAACCAGCTACCTACTTTAGGGTACAATATGTCTGTCTCAGTTAGTTTTCGCCATTCACTTCTAAAACACTCATCTGTACACCGGTATAGAAGTCACACAGCGCAAAATGATGCCTTGCTTCCGAAGATCCATTTCTATGCTCTTCCATGACCAGCCCCGGGGAAACCTTTGGCTAACTCATCTCAATCGTACACCCAGTAGTGCTTAAACGCTATGCAGCAATCATCAAGTTGACTAGAAAGCCGCCTGCTTGAATCTTTTCTCACTTCTGTATGTTAGCTCATGGTAGTAATCCATCTCCGACGTCCTTTTGGGTAAAAATTATCTGAATAATTGTGTATTCCATAAATCGAAAGCGGTAAAATCAATAACTTAAAATGAACTTGAGGTTCAGCAATTAATTATTCGAAATCGATCAATTTGGTCCGAACATTGTGCCACAAAACCTGAGCACTGAACGAACGCGCCGTTTCTCAGTTTTGAGTTCAGTNNNAGTTAACAAGCTACGATTTTCGTTCTTCTCCTATGTTTAAAGAAACTTTTCTCCGTGTCCACTTTGCAAGAAGAAGAAGCAGTCGTGATTTTGAGCGATGTGGGGACCATTGTCTAGATTGAGCCCAATTCATTCGGAAAGATAAACTAGGATTTGGTTTGATTGATTTGGGGAAAACCATCTCGAAACCAATTTGGTCTTCCATCATCTGCAACCGGAGATTGATGATACTCAGTGCATGAAGCGTGCTCACAATTCTTGTACTCGTGCGAAACGACACAGTGGACATCGTGTTCAACCTCACAAGAATTTTACAAACTACCAATCTCTTTTCCAATGAGACGTGAACATCTCGTTCCTCTTTCACACATCATTTCTGAAAAACGCCCGCGGTGGACCACACCCATACTCTTGTACAGAATATATTTCAGCCCTGCCCTACCCCACCCCACCCCCGTGAGTGAAATACAAGAACACACTGATAATTCCGAGCTTTGCCCTTACGGGTATTTCACCCAAATTACCAATAGACAAACTAAGAAGTACACAAAATAAGACACATCACTCAATATTACCCGAGATCGGAATTCGGGAAAGCAATGATCAAAGGAAGGTAGAAAAAATTGCACCATGAAAACCATTCAATACTCAACCACTGAGGACACAGGTCGGAAAGGCAGGACAAAAATAAAATAATATAACTTTCAGGTCATTTGTCAAGTGGTTCCCTCGATTCGACAATATAAAGCAGTACATCTCCGCATCCTGACCTTGCCGAAGAGATCGATATTAGGGCGGTTCGCACCTAACAATGCAGTTCAATTATCATTATCCCCTGTGGCCGAATGCCACCACACTGGTTAATGGATTCGACTATTCGCGTCGAGATCAAGACTGAATTGCTCTCTCCGTTTCACTGAGAATCCCACATGGGATAGGTTTCACGAACGAAACAGATCAAACTACACAAAAGGTCATTAAAAAAATTATCTTTACCAATTCATGAAATCGTACCGCTGTCTCTATTGATCACGTACGGTAGTTCTCTTTGAAGCAGTCAGCAGAAAAATCGATTTGGTCTGACAGAACAGTTTGATTTGTCGCATGTTCAACTGGGTGAGACACGTGACCTGCTAGGCGTGAATCGGACTGACAGGAGTAAAAAAGAAACTGGTGGTGACATTGCTCACGACAGAGAGAACGTGCAACTTCATTTCTGCCGAAAATCCGTGTGCAAATCACTCCTATTTTCTCTTCAAATTGGTTGACTTATCCTCGTTCACATCTTTCACTGTGTCCTTAGCCTCTCTCTCTCTCTCTGTCTCTCCATGCTCGAGAACAATAGATCTGTCACACTCCAATCTGATTTGGGTATAGACGAGATAGTAATCCAGCCATACACGCCCGTAGGCACACACACACACAATGTCAAGATACATCGAATAGAATAGCATAATGACAGGGAGATGGAAAATAAAACACGGAATGCCAAAGACTGATTCGGATTAGAGTGATTTTGTGTATTAAAAAAAAATACTGAATGAACTTACTGGTAGTGTGCACCATTATCCTCTTTCTGAGGGATAATTTTAAGCTTCAAAGTACTTTGTCGACCCATCACAGTCACTTCACTTGTCGGTAGAATCTGTTGATTATCTGAAGCACGGTGGGGGGGAGGTGGGACGGTATGAGGGCGGGGAG